CCGCCGTTAGGCTTTAGTGACGTTTTTAAGAGAGACACCGCTGCTCGTCCCTCAAACAAAAAATACCCTTAATCGCTTCTTACCATACTTACAGGAAAGGAAGGGATGGCCCATTCTATGTCAGGATCACACGGGTAAAATAAAAAAATAATGTTTGTCAAATGTATTTTTTTTTATTTTACAACTGTGTTACATGATTACCCGTACTTCGTCGCCAATCTTGAACCGATTTTACAATTCTTTTTACGATTTTGTGACCATTGAATCTGTCTTTTTTTTTACGCAGCATAAATTTGAATTTAGAAATCGTCCGTACAAGTAGATTTTGCTTCGCGAAGATTTTTTTTAATATATCAAAATAAAACAGTTAATATGTAATATTTTCGATTTTACCTGTATATGGTATGCCTCAAATGCATTGCAGGGAGTCAGTGGATACAGGTGGCTCAGGACTGTTCCTGATGGCGGTCTATGAGACCTATGTCCAGCAGTGGACGAATAATAGCTGAAATGTTGATGATGGTATGCCTCTGCTAATCCTAGCTTTATGCACTCATAGGAAATATCAATGGAAAAGTGCAGTTTTATCTTGTTTACTTCTTCCAACCAATATTCTTGGATATTAGAATGGCAAACAAGCTGACGACCCACCTGATGGAAAGTGGTAACCGTCGCCTATAGACATGAGCAGTACCATGGATATAACAGAGTGTACTGTTTCGCCCATGATACCCCCCATGTGTTGCCATTTCTGAGGACTCAGGTGTTATTCCTCTGTACCCAGTAAATTCACGCCATATCTCACCCTTCAAACCGAAACACAGCCATGCAAACACAACTGCTTCACGGTTGAAACACGAATGGGACAGAGGTACCCAAACAATCGACTTTTGTACAAAGTCTCCCTCTGGTAATGTTTTTATCCGAGATTTCATTTACTTGATAAAAAATAGCCCATAATCCCGTTCCACATTCACCCCATTAAAAAAACAACCTAAGGTTATTTTTTTAATGTATGCGTGACATAACCTGATTTAAGGCGCTAGTACTAAAATATTAGCCCCTTTTAACTAAAAGTTTGATTCACGACAAACGTTAACGAGCTCCCGTGCTCCAGTTAGCTAGTTATTGTTCATATTTAACTGCTTTTGTTCTACGTCGCGGGGCTCAAGTATGTTTTCTAAGCACGCAATATCGTTATTAAAACATTGACTTAGGCGCCGCGTAAACGTAGAAACTTTTTGTTAACACGGGACACTGTCGCTAGAAATTGTAGTGGATGTGGTTGATAACGACAACCGAATAGTAACCGCAACTGGGACTTTTGCCTTCTAAACAATAATAAGAAAGAACAAGATAGCGCATGTTGCCGTTATACTCTATTTCATGGACTCGCTAGCAAAACCATTTTGTCTGGGGGAAAGGGATTGTTAGTAATGGAGACTGAGAATCCCATTGCTAGCAATATACCCAACCAGGTCGGCCTCCTCGCGGTTCTCCCTGGAAACTATCATGGTTAATTTCTTATGAATTTATCATGATGGGCTAACTGACCTGTTTTCATTCTCATCTATCACCCTTCACTGGTGCTCTGCCAGCGTATCCCGTTAGTGCAGGCGGGGTTACCATACCATTTTCACCCTTCACTATGGTTTCCAGGGGGAACCACGTGGAGGTCGACCTGATATATTGCTAGTAATGGGGCTATCAAACTCCATTGCTAACAACCCGTTTTCCCCCAATCGCTTATATTGAATTTATTGTGTAATTCAAACAGAATAGAAGCAACTTGAAACAGCACCGCCTGTGTCTTTGCACGTAGAGGTCGATTTGATCAATAAAATATTCAGTGACATTCGCCGTTTGCGTGTATCCAACACAACACTAAAGTGGCCACGTTTGCGCTGCCCCTTAGGGAAATTATTAAACCGCGAACTTTTTTTACTTACCATGACCACGGTTTCATTCAAATGAACTTTTATTATATACGCCGTTTAATGATTAAACTTTTTTATACTCTTTGCTTTTTATTATTTTACAAGAATTTTTTTTTAATAAATCTTTCACGTGATTACGCGTTTTCTATAAAAGATGGGGAAATTATTTTTATATTTAGCAACCATGTTTGTTTCCTTGAAGAAATTTATTCTATTTTCTAGTATTCATGATAATAAACAACTTTCTGCAAGGATAATGTTTCGATTTAAATTGCTAAGTGGATACAAATAAAACAATTTAGTGAACTCTTTTACTCTAAAAAACGTAATTTTCGTTTTATTATAATAATAATAATATACTTTATTATTCAGATTACAATTTGGTCCTTTTTGTTAGTAACAGTTTTCTTACAAACTATGTTAGTAAAAAAGAAAAGCAAATTAATTAAAGCGGTTCACCCAGATGTGAGCCAGCCGACTAGATCAGCATCTGAATGAAATGCCCAATTATAGGCGAGTTATATTTCTCGCCTATTACTTTTAGAATGCTGTCGGTGCTTGTCCTAACCCTGTGTAGCAATGATGCAGTCCTCTTTCTCCTTATAGCGTAGTAGTCATCTACGCGAGATTGAGCAAACATGCTGGAGGCGCTACAAATGCGAGGTAGCCCCAACAGCACTCTAAAACTGTTATTATACTGGATTCGTAGGGCACTGAGTGAGGCCCGCGTGCAGTTGACCCACAGGCTGCTCGTGTAGAATGTTTGGCAGTATACTTTGAAGAGTGTGATTTTTACTTCTTCACTACAACGGGCAAACCTGCGAGCCAACATATACCATTAATTTAACGAACACGTCACGAAACGAACAAAATATACCGAATTGTCATGCAATCATTCGGGTCATCGGCAGGGAGAGGAAATTATTATTTCCTGCTTCTTTAAAATCATCATCATCGTCATCATATCAGCTTTTAACTGTCCACTGCTGAAGCCTTATATAATAATAAGCCTCCCCCTTAGGGAGTTTTGCCAGTAGTTGCCACGCTTGTCAGGCAACCGCAGTTAGGCTTTAGAGATATTTTTAAAGGGACGTTGCTGCCCATTCCTCGCTTTCCCTTAGTCGGCTCTTACGACACCCACGGAAAAGGAAGGGGTAGCCTATTCTATGCCGGGACGACACGGCCAGTCTTTAAAATGTTATAGAAAAATCTATACTTATAATAAATCTGTAGAGAGGTCAATTCTGTACATGAAATATATTTCCAAAATAACTATCAGAGCGTGACTAGTGATCGATACTGATGCCTAAAATCAGTAAAATTTTTGTCTGTCTGTATGTTTGTTATAGAAACAAAAACTGCTCAACGGATTTTAACGAAACTTGATACAATTATTCTTCGTACTCCTGGGCAGGTTATAGTATACTTTTCATCACGCTACGATCAATAGGAAAAGAGCAGAGAAGGGAAATGTTAAAAATATCGGACGGGCCGCTAGTTCAAAATAAAAATGAACTATTATGAAATATCAAGATCCTTTTTTTTCAGATATTTTTTTATAAGTGTAACTTAATACAGTTTTTTTAAAAAAGGTTTTTTTTATGCAACTTAGAATAGCAAACAAGCTGACGGCCCACCTGATGGAAAATGGTAACCGTCGCCTATAGACATGACCAGTACCATGGACATAACAGAGTATACTGTTTCACCCATAATACCCCCCATGCATTGCCATTCCTGAGGACTCGGGTGTTATTCCTCTGTGCCCAGTAAATTCACGCCATATCCCACCCTTCAAACTGAAACACAGCCATGCAAACACAACTGCTTCACGGTTGAAACACGAACGGGACAGAGTTACCCAAGCAAGCAGAGGTGCTCGATTTAAAGAACCTTATACACTTGTATTTATTTAACTATAGTCCACAGGTTAATAGATAATAATGATAATGGTGCTTCTACCGTGCGTATAGACATCGTTAACTGTTTACATTTCAAGATAACCCTTATAATTCCCAAAATGTTATCGCGGGCAAACATTGTCCGTCCGTTTACAACCTGACATTCGATAACACTTGTTCAATATATTTTTTTCTGTTATCAATCACTAGCGGCATGCCCTGGCTTTGCACGGGTGCAATATTTGTTTGTGTAACTTTTAAATACATTTTAGTAAGGCTGATATTTTGGCGTGTATTTTTATACAAATTAGAATGGCGAACAAGCTGACGGCCCGCCTTATGGAAAGTGGTAACCGTCGCCTATAGGCATGAGCAGTACCATGGACATAACAGAGTATACTGTTTCGCCCATGATACCCCCCATGCGTTGCCATTCCTGAGGACTCAGGTCTTATTCCTCTGTACCCAGTAAATTCTAGTAATATAGTCCAGTAAATTCTAGTAATATAATAGTATAAATGATAGTACTGTACTAATATTCTTTAAGATTCAAAAATAAACGGCCTATTTAGCAATTTGATGTGCGTGCATTTATATAGTTCCTCCTGCACCGCGCACCACCTACTATTCTCACACGGCCAGCGTCTGCGACAACGCAATCATTTTATCTCCATGAAATTTTCATTTTGATTTAACTATTTGATTTTGTAAAAATTTGTAAAGTATACGCCAAACCTGTATACTTCACAAATTTATAGAGTAACGTTAATACATCCGTTATTGTGCATATATATATACTGGGGGGAAAGGGATTGTTAGTAATGGAGACTGAGAATCCCATTACTAGCAATATACCCAACCAGATCGACCTCCTCGCGGTTCTCCCTGTAAACTATCATGGTTAATTCCTGATGAATTTATTATGATGAGCTAACTGGCCTGTTTTCATTCTCATCTATCACCCTTCACTGGTGCTTCGTCAGCGTATCCCGTTAGGCAGGCGGGGTTACCATACCATTTTCACCCATCAAAAATAATATATAGATACTATAATTGAAATACATAGATATTATTATATATTATCTATACTATTTTAGTGATTTTCATTCCCAATGGTATAAAAAAATATATGATTGATCAAAGTGAACGTCTATTTACGCAGGTAAGCGACATCCGAGGCTGTGGATACCATATAGCGACGATGCTGGGCCTCCTGCCCGCTCAGGTCATCAACGTGTACCTGGGCTCCACGCTGCGTTCTATGAACGATGTACTGCACGAGTCACATCTCACAGGGTACATAGTTTTCGCTTTCCAGGTGAGGTGGCAATATGCTCTTTTTTTTTCATTTATCAATATATCTAGGTACAGTATAGATACCCTCGCAACATGTTTCTACATCATTTTAGTCAATAGCAAATAAATGACAAAACTCCAAACTTTATGAAAATACGAATTAAAAGTCGTACAACGAACTATAGAGAAACCTATGCTCACAATTTTTTCAATTTTTTGATCCAGAACGAGGAATTTCGACAGAACTGAAGTGGTTTATGTAACTTTTAAAGTTTGCCAGCTGAAAAGGCCACTCTACACTCACTTTCCTTACTGTGATGTATATCATAGTCACAGTATATCACAGTGAAGGAGGGTATTTTTAGAGTAGAGAGTACCTGCGGGAACATGGAGTGTCTTCCTCCTAGATAAACTGACGACTGAACTGACTGACGATATTGAGAAGACAACCAGATACAGAAGTGGATACCTTGATTTTTTGGCTACACTATACAATAATTAATGTCAAGTATATTCTTTCACATATGATCCAGTATTATGTACTGATTTATATTTTATCACGTTAGGTATAATTTTGGTGTTTATATCGAACTTTTGCTGATAACCGAACATAAAAATATCGTAAAATTTAATATTTTACAACTACGACACAACATTTTTAGCTACTCTCCGTATACGTTAGTATCCTAACGTCTCTTCAATATCCAAAAACTGCGCACAAACTTATCTCAGTTGAAGTGACCCACCATTAACAATCGTCTATAAAAATGGCAACTGTACATGGATTCTATAACCGTATATGCATTATTATTGTATCCATAACTACATACAATAATCGTCGTATGATTTGAGACGGGATATGACAACTGCCGTTTTATTGGCTTGTGTCCCGCTCTTCTATGTGCCTAGTGGGAAATAATTCCAAATGACCCACGTACTCGTATGTACGTATACCCACAATGTTAGCTTCATATCATGCTATTACTACATCATTTCTCAGGAAAATATAAAAAGTGTATACAACCATCAGCTAAAAATAATCTATCTCGTAGTGGCAAACTGCATTAAAAATAAAATTAAGTCCTTTTACTCTAAAATATGATATAAAATTAAGTAGAGCCCTATATCTGTAGTCAAAACGTCAAAAACTGCTCCGAAGTAATATGTCTATAATGCAAGAAAAGTCCTCAAGAACAGGAAGTTTCGTTATTTCAGGAAATCGAATAATGGAATTACTGGATAAACGACAACGAAGGGCGACATCCTCACAAAAGTAACAGTAATATTGGCCTAATACAACAATTTACCCCAAACTATTGGGGTCCCAATACGGTTTCCAGCGGGGGGAAAAGGATTGTTAGTAATGGAGACTGAGAATCCTATTGCTAGCAATATACCCAACCAGGTCGACCTCCTCGCGGTTCCCCCTGGAAACTATCATGGTTAATTCCTGATGAATTCATTATGATGGGCTAACTGGCCTGTTTTCATTCTCATCTATCACCCTTCACTGGTGCTCCGCCAGCGTATCCCGTTAGCGCAGGCGGGGTTACCATACCATTTTCACTCATCAAAATACGGTTTCCAGCCGGTTTTAGGTAAAAAGTATATACAGCTTGAACGGAGTTTTTTAATTTGAGATTCGATGGCGGAAATCCGTCCATTACTGTCCACATTATCAATCACTCATAAATAATAAGCTTTTAACTATGAAGCATAGAATCTATCAAAATTATAAAGTAAGATCCCTGTCATTTCTTGTACTTAGATGTCTAAACATCTAACCTACTATCCCCTGGAAGTGCAAAAGATCTCAATGGATTGGACCCCATACGCGATGAGTATATTGCTCTGCGAATTAAAAAACTTAACCGTCCCACCAAAACGAACTGTTGAATAAATTATTTCCAAAAATATATAATGTCACTCGGGATGATGTAAGGATTCTAACGATACCGCACACATTCAAATCTGTTCAGGTATTTAGAAGTTGTGTTGGAATACACAAACTCCATTAACCCTGAACCCACAACACTTTTTTTGGGTAATTGTGTAAAAATGAAAACAAGACAGGCGATAAGTCTCGAATCTCCATCGTTGGCATTCTCTATAAAAATAGAATTAGATCCATTACCCAATTTAACGCTTCGGGAATATCAACAAAATAAAACTTAAGACACTGGAACGCACTCTCGCTTGACATAAGATCTACTCTGAGCAAACTAGCTTTTAAACGTAAATTGCGCACCTATTTCTTAGAAAAATCACTTTGCCTTTATCTGGGTGGTTACTATGTTTGAGTTATAGAATTTTACTGCGTATTAAAGTTTAAATAAACAAGTAAAATAAAACTAGATACAAAAGACCATTATTATGACCTTGTTTCGTTTATTAATCTTAAAATCTCGCAACTAACAATTCATTGTTCCGCAAAGAAAAGCGCCAATCTTTACAAAAATATGGGATTAATACGGAAGTGCGATGGAAAAAATATTAAAACACGTTGTACACAAAATCTATGACCACATGAAGTTATCATAACCGTCTACTTAAATATTGATGACATATATAGTCTGATTCGATAAAAGACAATGAGAAGGTAACCAAGTTTTGTTAAAATTATTACAGAAATATCTTCTTTTGTTAAAAGTTTCGTATGCACACATTATATTTTAATGTAATAACTGTTGGTTATCGCGCTCAGCGTGCCGATGCGCGCAGTCAGGCTCTCGCTCGCGGCACAGCCGCTCATGATTAAGGGTCCCGAATTGGACCAGAAACGAGTCGAAAGTACATCCTGAGATGTACTTAAGTAGAGATGTTTTAAGAGGGACGCTGCTGCCCATCCCTCGCCCTCTCTTACTCGGCTCTTACGACATCTACGGGATAGCAAGGGGTGGCCTATACTATGCAGAGACCACACGGTCATTTTAACATATCATTATTGCACAATTAAGGCTAGTCAAGGCTTCATAACCATCGTCTGTTTGACGCATGATATCAGTATGACCCAATATAGTTAGACAGAGATAGGCATTAAGGAAAAAGAATATCATTGCCAATGTGCACGTGCAATTCTTGAGCTAATTCATGCGCAATTAACATTCACTATAGGTACTAGAATAAAAATTCCTCTACCTCAATTTATGTAGGTTTTTTAAAAACATTTTTCTACGAGACAGGTTCATTAACTTTTTTTTATGCTGCAGAAGGCTAATGTAGGCCTAATCTACTATTTGCATAACTTATTCATACTTCGATATGAATTAAACTAACAGACTTGATAACAAATGTATATATGTACTATCTACTTAGGTATATCAAGCTTAGACATAGTATAACCAACTCGTGTACTGACGCACTGAGAATGCAAACACAAACACTTGAAAACTAAATTCAGACTCAAATATTTTCAAAGAAAATGCGGACGAATAAGGTAGGCGCCACATTTGAAACATCGCCAAAGAGGTCGTCCAAATGTCTTCGTGAAATTAAACAGGAGTAGGCCAGTGTGTTCATAATGAAACAGTTAATCTCTGAATACGGTATGTCACTAATCCTTTTCATCCCCAGAATGTTGTAAGAGATGTACATGAAGGTCAAAGCACGTGCTGTTTTATTCTCCTAACTAGCTGATGACCGCTACTTTATCCACGTAGTATTTGTTATTCCTGTTTAGTATGTATCGATGTATGTACCTACCTATTTATTATGTCTGCGGATATTGGACCAAAATTAACAAATGACGCGTCGTTCTCACTCTTTGCTTTGGGTCAAAATTACTTAAGTAGGTTGTGTACTAAGCGTTTTTTAACTATCCCATGGGGGCTCTTTAATTTTTGGAGATTAGTAAAAAGTACCATCAGTCCACCGGTCCAACTGTTTCGGAGATTAGTTCGTACAAACAGACAGAGAAACAAAAAAAATTGAAAAAAAAATCTGTATGTGTTCTATTTCACTTCTAATAATCCCTTTAACTTGGTTTTTTTTTTCTATGTACAGACATTCGATTTCTACAGTTTTATTATATGTATAGACTATCAGTGTATGAAAAGGAAAAGTCCAAATAAAAACCTATACCAAATTACACACAGAATTAATAATATTAAGGTATTGCGTGGTGAGACCAGTGGCAAGACTTACAGCATTTCTTGTTCTTGGTATGATTGTAGAAATGCTCAATTTCGTTGAAAAAGATACTCATGACTTCGATCTCAACCAGGTGGCAGTGAACGGTTACCGTTTCCCATCAAGTGGACTTTTTTTTTCTACAACTTAGAATGGCAAACAAGCTGACGACCCACCTGATGTAAAGTGGTAACCGTCGCCTATAGACTTGAGCAGTATATAAGTGACCATGGACATAACAGAGTATACTGTTTCGCCCATGTTACGCCCTCCATGCGTTGCCATTCCTGAGGACTCAGGTGTTATTCCTCTGTACCGAGTAAATTCACGCCACATCCCACCCTTCAAACCGAAACACAGCCATGCAAACACAACTACTTCACGGTTGAAACACGAATAGGACAGAAGTGGGTACTTCTGTACAAAGTCAAACGACTTTTGTACAAAGTCTCTCTCTGGTTAAATGTTCTTGTTGAATCTTGTTTTCCTAACATATATAAAATAAATATATATTTACAAAATAAATTCCTATAAATTACATTAATTGTACCTACTTACTTTATTTGCACTGATACGTGTGTATAGCTATAAATAATATAGATTTAGGTATCACTCTCGATATCTAGACAAACATATCGTTTAGTACTTTATCATACTTGAAGGCAAGGAATAGAGGGCGCTTACCTCCCTTGATAATATTGACATTTGATAGTAACGAAATAATATTGTTAAATTTCGTCATTAAACAATTCTATGAAATGTCATTTTAAAAATTGATTCATCATTATCATCATTCCAACTGTTGTTTTTTTTTTTATACAATTTAGAATGGCAAGCAAGCTGACGGCCCTCCTGATGGAAAGTGGTAACCATCGCCTATAAACATGAACAGTACCATGGACATAACAGAGTATTTTATTTAACATAGGACTGCCCCCTCGAGGGTTTTTTTTTTAATGGGTGAAGATGGAATGGAAACCCTGTCAGCGCTAACGGTATACGTTGATGGGGCACCAGTGAGGGATGATAAGTGAGAACGAAAAGATAGGTCAGTTAGCCTATCGTGATGAATACACTTTGAATTCAGCACGATGGTTGCCAGGGGGGACCACGGGGAGTCGACCTGTTAGGGTATTTTGTTAGCAATGGGAGTAGTAATCCGCATTACTAACAATAACTCTCCCCCTCCCCTCCCCCTCTGGAGGGGGTTTGCATACAGGGTGAAAGAAGAGGTGGTCCCCATGGGAATGAAGGGGTGGTCCATTCTATGCCGGGACCACATGGCCAGTATACACACATCGTCTAGTCACAATTATATTATACATATTAATTAGTAAACTTCGCATTTTCCTCACCACAATAAAGTCATTGGCTTTCCCCTCAGTACAAACTTGTAAAACAAGGGCAAATGGATTTAAATTAAAACAATACTTTTAAACACACTATCAGGACTTAATACGACGCGATTACATGTAAATATTATAGTACATACCGGGGAGAAGGGATTGGTAATAATGGAGATTAGTGTCCCCATTGCTAGCAATACACCCTGTTAAGTTAACCTCCTCGCGGTTCTCCCTGGAATTTATCGTGTTCAAACCCAAGTGAATTCGTCATGATGGGCTAACTGACCTGCCTTTTGATCCTCACCTATCATCTCTCACCGGTGCCCCGCCAGCGTATACCGTTAGCACAGGCGGGGTTACCATTCTATTATCATCCAGTTAAAAAAAAAGTACCTACATACCTAATTTTTAATGTTGACAGTAATATATTTATAATATGTGTTAACAATGCGAAAGTTTAAAAATAATATACTAGGTAACTTATTTAAATAGACATTAAATTTACTCAGACACCAGACTCTGCTCTCACAAACAAATGTCGAATTTTGTATTGTATCCAAAGTTTGATTCCTTGTTCTTAGATTGTACCTTGTTTTTTTTTTTTTATTTAAAGGGCTTTGAAGCTTTTGGAACAACTGTTTGTTGGAGATAATAAATACATTATTGTTATTATTAATTAAAAAAATTAATATTTTGACTACTCATTTCGACAGGATTCAAACTCAGATGATGAAGAGATGTCCCAATTTGACAGCTTTTTTGTTTGTATTACGTGATATCTTTGCTAATTGTAAAACGGACTTTATTAATGATTTATTTTTTTTAATAGAAAAGATTTTTTTTATGCAACTTAGAATGGCAAACAAGCTGACGGCTCTCCTGATTGGAAGTGAAGACATGAACAGTACCATAGATATAACAGAGTTGTACTTTTTTTTTTACTATCCCTTACTAATTTTGTAGAGATCGTACGTTTTGTAAATATTCTTATAAAATTCGGGTCTGCCGCAAAATAACTCAGACATATATTGCATATGTATGCAAATTTTTTTTTTACATTAAAGTTACTCATAACGCAAATATTTCTTTTGTCTGTTTTTCACTTCATATAAATCGATATTGAAATTGAGACGTATCGCACTTTTGTATTGCAATACTAGCGATATAATGATTCCATATTGTTCTGATAGATGCATATTATAACTTGCCAATATAAACTATTGTAAACCGTTCCCAATTATAACCTAACTCCTAACTGTTGTTTCATAAGTGCACTATAAAACTCTTTGGCAACGCATTGGGTTGATATTGATAGTAGATTCAAGAGTAGACCTGCAGTTCTTGGCTTAGATTTGGCTTGATACGCTGCCACGTGTCTGAATAATATAACCTTCTAACTAGAATCTGTCTAAATTACAGATACTAATCGGCATAACCCTCATGGTGTGGGTTGTGCAGAAGGCCCGCAAGGAGCTCACGATCGCAATAATGGCGGCGGAAATGAGCCGCGAAGCAATATCTACCTCAAGCAGCTCCTCCATCAGCTAGCCGACAGCCAGGGCTTCCACCGATGTGGACAGTGTCTCCGATGAACGGTCGAGCTAGGGTTTGATCGATGGGTGTTTTGGACACGCCACCGACGCCCGCGAAGATGAAACCTACGTGTGAATTTGAAGGGTTACAACCATGTGATATTATGTTAATCGCCATTTTACCTCCGAGAGGGTTGGTCGAGAGTCGCGAAGAGATTAAAACAGAAATAGTTAATAAGGTAGGTAGTATATACATTTCCAATGTTTTCCAATACCTATTTTCTGTTCAATATGTTTGATAAATCTTGACGGTAAAGTATCTAAAAAGAAATTGAGAAAATGCTCTCCAGTACGTACTAATTTATATATTTTACTCTTCATTGTACAATACAATTGTCTAAAAAGAAATAACTACTTTATTATATAATAAATTTAAAAAAAGAACGAAGAATTCGTCAATTCTGAATTTATTTTAATGACTTTTTTTTACTTTCAATACAGTAATTGATTTTGTTCAAATTCAAGACGATTTTGTAAAAAAATATCAAATGATTTCTTAGACACGAGTAAATTGAATCTTCATATAATATTGTTTATTAAAACATAACAGTCCACACTTTGACTATATTTATCTTGTCCAAATCTAGATCTAATGTTAAATAGGAGAACATGGCCAAAGTTTATTTACTATTCGGCCACGTCATCCTCGAATGTTGGAAAACATTTTATTCTGGTTAACGCCTTGGATGCATTCCAAAATATATTTCAGTTCATGCACTAAACATCGTATGCCAGTACAGGGGTGGGCAATGGCCACAGAGTCATGCACAATTATTGTCAACAATTCCACGCAATTGTTAATTTTGGTATTGAGCATTGGAATTTGATACGTTTTGGCAGTATGGCCAGTCACGACCCACGCGAAAACATTGCATTTGTCAGATGCTATTTATAAAATCTTATACCAGTTTTCCGCGTGACCAGGGATGTATTGAATGTCCGAGATAAAAGTAATTTATGTCCTTCACCATGCCAATAATAAATAATAAATTTAATGACGATTGGTTGAGCCGTTAAGGCGCCAAGAAGTAACGAAGAAACAAACCCCTTCACATTTATAATACGAGGATTAAAAAGGCAAATGGGCGCATACCGCATTTATGTAGTTTATATTAGTAATTTAGATTTAGAACGCGTATTACAAGACTTTCTTTTAAAAAGAGAGTGGTACAATAACCTTAAAATATAAAAATATTCTCTATGTACATTGTTTAATTATAATATTAGCAAAACATTAATTTCACAGTCACAATTCAACAATTCACAGTCATTTACATGACTGAAATTGAGACAACTATTGCTAGAGTCTCCGATTGTAAACGACTAAACTTAATTCAATTTGACTCGTCTAAAACAAGCTTGTGTGTTCACTGCTAAAAAAAAACATTTAATGTAGCTCTCGCAATTTTAGAACACATCCGTTACCAACTATAAAAGTATTGGGATCCTCGATATCGACATCTTGTTTCGGTGACATATTGAAAATAGGGTCAAACTGGCGTCCAAAAAGTTTGTAAGGTACTTCACTCCAAAAGGTACTTCACTCTTTGATAAAGACTATTGCTCTAGAAGTCGCAAGTTCGACTTCTCATGGAGTATTGCTTTCATTTATAGGCCGAAGCTCCTGGATATTAGTTTTTTCCTCTTAACTCAGTTCAAAGACGGGGTATGAGAATTGTCAACGATCCCAAGCCAACAGACAGTATCAAGCTCTTAAGTGTAAGGCTAGACTTGGCCTCCTTTTGTGTGTTCTACCGCTTATCCGTTATGGATTGTGTTCTGAAAAATTGTTCGAAATAATACCCACAGTCACCTTTTATCATCGCTTTGCTCACCATTGACAGGGAATTTATCCTTCACGCGCTAAAACCTAAATGGTCGCGTACAGTGCAATTTCCGAGACGTTTTCTCCCGTGAACGCTCAGGCTGTAGAATGAACTCACTGCTGAGATTTTCCCTAGAGACTACAGTATAAGATTCTTCAAGAAGGGTGTATTAAGGTTTCTTCAAGGTTGGCAATGCGCACGAGACACCCCTAGTGTTGCAGGCGTTATGGCTACAGTGAGTGTTTACAATCAGACGAGCTGTTTGCGTGTTTGCCACCTTCGTGGTATATAAAAAAGGACTGTTGACATTTCTAAAATCCAACTTAACACGTGACTTTAGTATGGAATTGAAACGCCTTGAAAAAAACTTTCTTTTTTTATGCAACTTAGAATGGCAAACAAGCTGATGGAAGTCTGTTCAAAATTGACGAATATATCGTGAAACGAGCACATAAAATGCCGTTCAATTCAGGAAATATAACTAGTTATTTTTCACGCAAATTTTTATCAAAATATTTTAATAATGGCAACATCACCATATCTGATGATGAGTTCTGTACCCTTAATGTACAGAAAACTGTAAATTTTTTTATAACCATTTAAATGCTCAAAAGAAATTAGTTTACGTACTGGAGGTGCATTTGAGATACGAAACAATACGATATCCAATACAAACGTTATCAATTCGTGGGAGATAAATACACGATAAAGCCATACAATACCAAGGTTTACGATAGCATCGAAATAGATTATACTGTAACAACACTGAAATAAGCTATATGCAATAGTCAATAGCGTTTACATTCGAATATACTCGTTTTATAAATAAAACCTGACAAGTTTGTAACTAGGATAAATTTGACGGAAAAACCAAAACTGTGTACATAGTACGTAGATTTTACAGTGTGAAACAGATGTATAAAATTTATTTTTAAAAAAAGTTTTTACTTCAACCATTGAATATAATTTTCGGAAATTGTATATATTAACCGAAAATAGTATTAGAAAAAGTTGCCAAAATTTGGACTCGATGTAAAGAGTTTGTTGTTAGAGTTTGAAGATTTTTTACACCAATTGTCATTAATACCATTTTTATGTATATATATATATATATATATATATATATATATATATATATATATATATATATATATATATATATATATATATATATATATATATATATAATACTATTTGTACTATAATATATTAGCTTTATTTGTAAAGTTTTCGGTTCTTTCCATGATACGGTATGAATTATCTGTGTACTAAATTTAATTCAAAACCGTTCAACTTTTTAACTGTAACTAGTAAATATTCATACTTTAACTTGTATAATACTAGTTGAACTAACTACACGTTCACGTTATTAACAATAATGATAATTACATAGAAACCGTTATATATCACAGTTATCTTATTTACTTTGACTATTTGTCAGATAACTGTCTTATGTAACTAATGAGAGTTTGTGTTATACACTCAAGCAATCGTTTCTCTATGTTGATAATGAATAAGAGGTTTCTTCAGGGTCGGCAACGCGCGCGTAATACCTCTGGTATTGCAGGCGTTCATAGGCTACGGTAACCGCTTACCATCAGGTGGGCCGTATACTTGTTTGCCACCTCAGTGGTATAAAAAAAAAATATGTTACGAAAGGGTAATGCGGTCAGACAATTATAATGGCTATTTTAATATATCGCCTAAAATAAATTGGACATTGGACAGTGCATCTAGACAGATAATTTATTTATTTATTTATTTAATTCTTTATTGTACACACCAATTATTTATAAGAATAGAGACAGAGGTAATCCAGTGTACAAAGGCGAGCTTAACTCTGATAGAGTTTTCTTCCAGCAACACCCAAAGTGGAAAGGAGCATCAATGTCCTTAATAAAAGACTTATTTGATCAAACAAACCCAAATATTTATTGTATATTCTTTTAGTACATTTAAAATTTTAAATTTACTAAAAGAATACATCATTCAGTCGATATTTATCACCAGTGATATAATACGAAATAAAGTAAAATTTATTACATTCATATTGTGACAATAATAACTACAAAAAAAAACTTTTAAAAATATATAAATAGATTATGAGAATCAAAGTTCAATTCTTTCTTTATAGCATTTTTTTTTCTATGCAATTAAAGCAAGCTGAAGCTATGACCGTCTTAATCTATATTACTCTTTCGTAATTCAGAACTGTACAATTATTACATAGATAGATAAATGATTTATTTATAACATATAACTTAAATAAATCATTTATCTAACTATACAATATTTTTTTAATGACTTACGACTATTATCATTAATATACACTTTAATGATTGACTCTTTATGGCGAACCGTACACATATTTGTGATGTAAATGCTATAGTTTATAATAATTAATGATTTGGCATTTATTCTTATGAAATTAAGACTAAATTATGTCAGGTGTAGTATAAGTTATTTATCTATTAAATTAGAAACAAATTTATTAATATAATATTATAAATTCCGTATGTATAATGCAAAATTAATATGTATTAAGTATTATGTAATTTAATGAAAGTATGTTACCGCAAATATTGGATTTGAATCTAGGTTATTATGTGAATTTTAACGATATTGTGATAAACATAAATTGATATAGTTTGTATTAATTGATAAGGTAAGTAAATTAAAAAAAAAAATTAAATCATAAAAATTATTCTATCTCACATGTTGTAGCAAACAATACATATATACAAAATTTTATTTAAATCGAATAAGAATAGCGTTGTGACACATGATTTTTATATATTAAAACACATAAACCTACATAAAGCTAATAACTAAAATTTTATCATAATGTAATCTTGGCAACTATGTTAGTAGGTAGCGACATCTGCGGATCTACCATGAAATGAAATTCCGAAATTTCGGACTCAATTTCGTGTTTTTGTTTATACCAAAATCGGACCAATAAATGGAGTTTAACATTTTGTTCGTGATACATCCTATCGTGAAAGTCCAAAGGAACAATATTTTAACATTTTTAATATTTCCAAACGGGATGTATTATGTAAATTTAACATCAAATTTCTGTTTCGTTTGGCTCCGAAATTTCGGAACACATTTGATGGTAGACCCTCTGTTTTCAACAGAAAGGATTTTTCGCTCCTCTCGTACTGAATACATGATTGCTCGCATTGTAACATGTTACGTTATATTGAAATTATATGGGTCAGATAATTAGCAGCCAGTCATTGGGAATCATATTAGTGATAACTTTAACAGGCTATGTCCCTAAACATATTTCTTTAGTTAAAAAAAAAAAGTTTATAACTATACAAA